TCAGTTAAAAACTGCTTTGTTTTACATTTGTTGCTAAATTTAAATACCGTTTGCCCAAAGTTCAACTTTTTTAAAACCATCAAATCTCCACTTCGTTTGAATATTTGCCAAGTACTATTATTATTTTTCCCTAGGGTTTCTAGTGGAACATAGGGTTTCAGTAGCACGTCTCTAGTGCACTCTGTTTTCCGCAAACTTTTGAACCTGGCTCCATGACAACCCAGAAGCTCTCACTTCTTCCTTGAACGATCTCCACCATGTCACCCTCAGTTCGGATGTCCAACTCGTCGTTTCCCATCTGGGTTCCACTAGAGTGCCTGGCCTTGCGCTTGATGTCCCCAATCGGCCTTCTCAGTGTATGTCCAATCTAATCCATCTCCACTTTCTTATGCACATTTGTTGAGTGATAGGTTCTTGGTTGGTTTGTTCTCAGAGTTCCTTGTTGCTTATTCTTTCTGATTTATTGAGTAAATCAGTGTAATTATTATTCCGTGTTCATTTTACAACCCATTTGTCATGAATTTGACTATCATCACTTTTAAGAACTTGATTTCAATACCATAGACAATGAAAATTATTAAACAGAATATTCTTCGTTCATATTTGATGGTTAATTTTCCTCTTTTTTCTCTTAAACTTCTATCAACTTTCATTTCATTCGTTTTCAATTGACCATTTTTTTTACCCATATATGAAGCCTGTCAATTCTGAATGATGCATTTTTACGCAAGGTTCCATGTTTATCTATTTATATGTCTCTTTGTGTAAAAATGTGCCATATGGCAGTGATTTGCATGTTATCCTCTATGTTTTACAAGTGGGAGAAAACAACTAATTAACAGAATTCGCACTATCCACTTAATGTTATACCTTTCCAAAAACAATAAAATGTACAGGTATTTTATTATTTAAGTGAATGAAAGCATTTCAGATGCAATTTGGGCAGTCAATCAACACAATCTTTCTCTTAATTATATATGCGAACCTAAAAGTATTTGTGTACAATCAACTACCTCAGCCCTATCGACTTACTAATTTTTAGGCAACGTTCAGGTAAGAGACCATATCAAATATTTATTAGGGAGCACCTGTGAGACAAAAAAATTTAGACAGCTAAGTAAGCTATAATTAATTAGTAGCACCGCAAAACAACAAAGAGTTACGAAGTTCATGCAAATGCTTAGATGTGTATTAGTAAGTTATCAATAAGCGTTAATCTCCTTTGAATTCTAACTTTAAAGAGATTGGTAGAGCTGAATAAGCTCAGTTATAATCTCGGAAGAGGCATCCATGGACTTACATACCCATCATAATTCACATTTTTCAAAGACTTTAATGACTATTCAGGTTTTTTCCCCACTCCATCAATCCATCTTCGCAAATCTTCTTGTTTCGAGCATTCCATCAAGATTAGTAGATGCACTAACTTGAAGTACTGCTTCAGAGAATGTATTTCCTGATTATTAGATTTGTAGGAGAGTTTTTTTAAAGCTTACTGCTTCAAATTTTAAGAGCATTCTACCATTCGAAATGAAAATTAACCATTGAGGTAAGATTTTCCTGTTAAACACTTTCATTTGTATTACCATCAAGTCTGATGAAACTGATCCGAAAAATAGGAGATTAATCGAACATGTTTATGCTAATTTTGAGGTTTTACTTACACTGATTAGTTTTTGCTAAACAAGACAGTTCTTCAAACATACACCAGGTGTCGCAAGTTCTCATGCCCATGGACTATTAGAGGGAGAATTATTGAGGTGAACAATGATTATTGGCGATGATTGTGAGTAATTCAGACAGTTTAGAGCATTTTTTAATCTTCATCCATTATATCTTCTGAGAGATCAACTAATAGTGGTTAGTAAAATGTATTTGCCGACCGATAATTATGTGTATGATCAGGTGTCAGAATATGAAAATGTATATCTTGAATAGAATAGTAATGATTTTGCGTCTAGTCTTGCTGTTTAAAATAATTTCTATTTTCAAACCCAAAGAATTTCTCTTTCCTAATCTTGGATGGTGTGAGTCAGTCGGTAGCAAGCTCTGAACCTAGTTTTGTCCTTCGTGCACTCATCAGTAAGATTTATCTACAACCATGGAAAACTGGTGCTGAAGTCAGAAACTTGATTACTAAGCTATTCATACTGACATCATTGCAAAAATTGACCGGTAAGCTTCGATTGGTTCTAAGTACTAATGATAAGACGGTTACCTAGTAGTGACCGATTCGTGTACATTTCCTAATCTGTAGTCGTAACTGCAGTTTCACACTTGATTTAAAATTACCTAGTAAACATTCATTTAAGAAAGGAGGTAGAGGATTTTTAGTCAATTTAAATGAAGGGCAAACTGGTATATCAGAGTCAAACATGATACCCTGGTTGTTCCAGTCTTCAAGAAAGACAAGAAGCCCTCTTGTGACAGTCGCATAAAAATCACCTTGACGAACATAGTATGTAAGACTCTAGGTTCTATAATCATTAGAAATTCGAGTGAAGCTCGGGAACAGAAATGCTGAGAGAACCAGTCGAGCTTCAGACTTTGTCGTGGGTATATCTACCAGATGTTCAACCACCATGAGGTTCTGGAGAACAAACACTCCCACCGACACCGAATACTAGCTGTATTTCTCGACCTGGAGGTGACATTCGACTCTGTTGACTGAGAAGTCTTATAGCAGTGTTTCTCATTGAAAGTAGTACCAAATAAATACATCACTCTGTTAAGAATCCTTCACTCGAACACCCATGAGGATGATTGAGCCTATAGTGAATTGTGAACGCCGAGTGGTGACCTTCAAGGACGTCCACTCTCTCCATTCTTATTCAGTTTTATTACGAACATTCATATGCAGGTCTCCGTCTAACATATGACTTCATATGTATTGGTCTCATCACAAGAAAATCTTTGTTAGATCTAGAGTTAGTGGATGACATAGTCCTGATGGGCAAAGACCCTGAAAATATGCAGAGTCTTCTTGAAATCTTGAGTGGCAATTCAGGAATGTTTGGGATGCGTTTTTCACCACATAAATGCAAATTGTTGCTCCAGGACCGGTATTCCATGGTGTCTTGTTTAACAGTTGGAAGTGAAATGGTTGAGCGCGTTGATCACTTGGAGAATCCGATCAGCTGTGGTTGTTCGGTGACCAACAAAATCTCTCTATGCTTACAAAAGGCTTGTTTGGTTTTCGCCAATTATGGCACCACCGTGGTATCCAGTTATCAATTAGAGTCGAGCGTACTGCCCTGCAGTCTACTCTATTATAATATATGAATGCAAAACATAGCGATTAAAGGTAGAGGATATGAGAAGGCTTCAGGCGCTTGAGCGTTGTTGCCTTTGTAGCATAAGTCGTGTGTCTTGCTGTCACCACCTCAGTAACTTAGAAGTTGGATGTAAAGTCTTAGGGAGGTGGAGAAAGTCAGTCGTTGTCATTGTAAAGCTCCGCTGGCTCGGGTGTGTGGGAAATATGTTACACGCGCCTCAAAAGTAGGCTTAGGTTGGAAAACAGTTAGGGGTGGCCAGAGTGAAACACGGCATCTGTGCATGAAATCCTTGATGATTGGTTTGAGCCGTTTAGGGACTTGTAGACTTCTTTGTTGTGGTGTACGTGACAACAGTAACCACCGGCTGGAGACTATATGTTACACGGATCATAATAGATATTACTGGTGCAGATATATCCAAAGACTATCTTCATTTTGTTCATCATAGTGAATCGGATATCTTCTAATTTCTCCTTGTTCTCTTTTGCTGTTTCTGATTGCTATATTCTCCATTTCTTTATCCTTCATCTTGTTGATTTCTCGCTTGATGCATTGATATAAGGTGTGGCAACTAGGACCGTTACGTGGTCGTATTTTGATACTGATGATGGTTAAACACTCATTGAGCAGTAAAATAGCGTTTGAAGAGGAAAGAAGTTTCAAACGTATCAAATACTCATTCATATGCCATTACTATCCGATCGATTCAGTTCTGTAAATAAACAGAAAAAACTATTAAAACTTTTATACCCGCTGAATTGTATGTTGGTCATAGTTACTTCATAGACTAGTGAATACTCCTTTAGCGTTTAAATGTCAGTGAAAACCATTCCATTTATTCAGGTACAAGTAAAAATTCATCTTACAAGTTATAAACAGCACGAGATTTATGTTCTTCATTTCTTTACTTGCCATAGAGAATATAGTTCTAACTAATCAGTTTCTGTCCATCGATTTTAATCTGCGTAAGTGAGGAATGTGGCTAGAAAAAACGTTGTCAGTAATCCAGATTTAAGTTTTACTGCATTCTCAGTACTTTTGTAACTCCATTTATAGTCTCTGAGCAACTATAATCCTCATATTGCCTGAACCGCAGTGATATTTTGCAATTGTGGTAATAAAATTGATTGTTAAGAGTGTGAAAAGCTTGTTAATTTCATCCGTCTCTTTTTTTGTTGAATCACTGAGTAAAAGACTTCCAGCTTAACACCTAAATTTACTGACATAATCTAAAAAGGTCCAGGCGTAAAACATAAGAATAGGTGTCATTTATCATATTGATAGGAGTTAAGTATGTTTTGAATAAAAAGTCAATCTATCTGAATGTTTGTGGAGGTTTATTAATTGATTTTAGATTGGAATTCATCATGAGATGACATCAGCCAGGGGAACATTAGAAACCTGGGAGCAGGTGAGAACATTAGGGAGGATCAATCTTCGGCATTTTTCGCTTGCACAACCAATAAAACTTGTCATGATCTTACAGATTACAACCGTCTAATTTTTATACTGATCATTACACTGCTAATGAATAAGTACACTAACTTAGTATCAATAGCCATGTAGTCATGTTGAATATTGTCTGCATACCTCATTCTGTTGTTTGTTATCCAATGTAGAGAATTTACTTGACTTCAGGTAACAGAAATACAACATGAAAGTAATTAGTTGACTACTATGATAAGCAAACCACCGAATTTCAAAGAATAAGTTATAAATTATGTAAAGTATAAATTAAAATTTTATTAAATTTATCCTAAAAGGTGTAATTTGTTACAATAGAATTACAAGTTAGGATAGAAAGTTGATCAATTCAATTGATGAATAGTCAAAGAAGAGAATTGAAATGCATTTTTCTCAAAGTAAAAGATAAATACATCTAAAGGATTGATTATTCGACAAAAGATTATTGGAATGATTCAGTACAATTTAAAAAGTTCTCATTAAACTTAATATACCAGAATAGGTAAACTAAAATGACAGTAAAAATATTAAAAGTGATCAATTAGTATAGAAATTTTTGAATCCTTAATCATGGAAAGAATTCCTTGATTATTTCCATTTTTTTGTCCTTGAGATTGATATTTACCTTTTCTTAAAGATAATTCATTGTTAGCACTTAATGGAATTTCATGCCATTTTGTTGGTTCATTTGAACGTGAAGTTCTTGGTAGAGAATCATTATCAGTAGATGTTGAAGTAGAAATAGCTGAGGCATGTAATAGGGATAAATTCCATTTTTCTAAATGTTTACCACAATTTATTTCAGATTCATCACTTGATTCTGAGTCTAATGGATAACGTGGAACGGTTAATTCAACTGGTTTATGAAATTTTAAACCTCTTGGACCACACATCACCATTGGACTAACTAATATAGGCTTATCTGAAGGTAAACGAGATTCTGATGGTAAATCATCTAAAGGAAGTTCATTTCCACTGTCATAAACCTAAATTGGAATAAAGTAGAAAGTAAAGGGCATTAACGATCACGTGTCAATTATGTATACACATCATGATTGAGGTCAATAGATAAATCGGTGTAACATGGTTACTAATTCAAATTATCACGTTATCACCTACGTTTGTAGCTATAAAAAGGCATCATTTATTTTTTTTTTAAAACAGGAAAGTCATACACAAGAAAGAATTTTTGTACTTCAATGGGATGATGTTTGTTGTATTACATTTTCTGAGACAAAAGATAATCCATAAATTTCATCAATAAATACTTTTGACCTTAAAAAAAGAGAAGTTGAATGATAAAAGAGTGCTGAAAAAGAACGTGATCATTAGACTAGCATTCAAAGGCAATGAAATGGGTTCACAAAATAAACGCTTTATACTAAGGTATCTAGCTACTTAATTAACAGTTATCTATAATATAAAGAATACACTAACAGAAACTAATTTACATGTAAGATCGTTTCATGGTACCTGCAACTGTATCTATTTATTTATCTTTACTTGGAGTAGTATGTATGTCGGAAGAATGAACAGGGTGCTTACTAAAAGAATCTATGAACATGTACAGAAAAGCCTGTCACTGAAGGATTCAAGACTGCTAAGCAGTGTCACTGGTAAGCATATCCTCGATACAGGTCATGCCAGTGATTCAACTGTAGCTTTCCAGGTAATCAATAGACAAATTAGTGTTAGATTTTTACGTTGTACAGAAGCAGCATCAATTCGTCTACTAAAACCAAACTTATGTGTGCAAAAGAAGTTTGCGGTTCACCTTCAATTGCCTAGGTGAATCACTCTTTCCTAACAACTTTATTTACTATTTTATTTATTTTTGATCTACTTTATTTCAATATACTTTAATCATGGTTTCGGCATGACATTTTCCATTCTCTCTACCGTCAATTCATACGCTTTGCACACCATCTTTTTGTTCTCCTCCCATCGTAAAAATACCTGATTCCTTCGGCTATAATCATATTCCTAAATTACTATTTATCATTATTTTATTATTTGTCCCTGGGGTTTCTAGTGGGACATACTGCTTCAGTAGCATGTCTCCATTCCACTCTCTTCTCTGCAATCTTCAAAACCTGTCTCCACAACAGCCAACAACCTCTCATTTACTCCTCGCACGATCTCCTCCATGTCATCCTCACGTCGAACGCCCAACTCGTCGCTTCCCATGAGGGTTCCACTCGACAAACTTCCACGTGATTCCCCCTATTGGTCTTCTCAGTGTATGCCCCATCCGATCCATCTCCACTTCCTTCCTATGCATATTTGTTCAGCGATAGCTTCTTGATTGGTTCGTTGACAGCCAGCCACCCACTCAGAGTTCCTTCTTGCTTATTCTTATCACTCTGACCATCTGATCTTCAGTAACGAGCCTGTGTAGGCAGCTGTTGATGAATACCTGTAGTTTGTTGGAAATGCTTTCGTAACCTGCCAAGTCTCTGAACCATCACGTGGAAGCACTGACTTGACTGACATTGGTGTTGAAAATCCAGATGTTGTTCCACATGCTGAGTGCAGGAGATCTCCACACTGATTTCAGGTTAATGAACACCTGTCTTGCTGTCTTTTCGATGCTGGCGGTCTTTGACGTCCTCGTCTGTAGCTGTGCCGCCTGTAGTTGATACAGTGCAGTATAGATAGGTGAATGAGGCTACTTCCTTTAAGTTTCTCCCGTTGATGGTGTTGTTGTTTGGGTATCTTCATCACCTCTGTCTTCTCTATATTCACTTGAAGTCCCATCTTAGCTGCCTCTTCTGACAACTTGTTAGTTTTCGCCCGTAGATCTTCAAGTTTGTGTGTTAATAGACAGAAGTCATCGGCGAAATCAATATGTTCTAGGTTCTTTTCCGCGGTCCAGAGTGTCTCCCTCTTCCTATTCCCGACTGTTTGTTGCGTGTTCCAGTCCATCACAAACAGGAATATCATGGGTGATGGTAAACAGCCTTGTCTTACTCCTGTCTTCACTTCGAAGGCGTCATGTGGCGTCTTCATATAGCTGTTGAATGAGGTTTAGGTTGCGTTATTTTCATTGTGATTAGTAATCTATTTCATAGTCTGATGTGGTATTTTACTTGTTCCCTGTATTGGTTGATTTGATTATAACCTTTGTCATTCATCCCTGTTCCTATGTTTATGTACTAATGTCTAGATGTGAATTATGTACTCGCTGTTGAAAGGTATCAAATCATTGATGCTGACCACTGATAATTTACCGTACACAATTTTAAATAAAGTGCCAATGTGGAAGCTTTAGAGCACAATGAATGCATTCGATCCATCCCGCAATGTTTGTTGTTCTCGTTTCGTAAAGATTTATAAAGGGAACTAATTGTATGAGATAAGAGGGCTAGATATCATAATTGGCTCTGAAATAAATGAGCTACATATTTTTCCACAAGTGGCTAGGTAGCTCGTCAAGAAGAAGAGGCAAACATTCACTCACCGTCTTCAGAAACTTATGCTGATCATGTTATCGAGAATAACAGTGAAAACTTAACGATTAAACCGTTCGGCGTGAAGGTAATACTGATATATATATATATATATATATATATATATATATATATATATATATATATATATATATGTAATGAAATTATTCGAAGCACTGTTGCTAAGTATACCTTCTAGATATTATTACTTAACAATGATAATCTGTACAGATAGCAATCAATAGAAAAAAATGTCCATTTTGCGTAAATCATAGTTCTTTACTATCCAGATATTGTTTTTCTTTTTATCCTACTATTTGTTTTCGAATAGGCGTTTAACAAGAATAGCATACGGCAGCTTCAATCACCCTTACTATGCACAACATTACATCCGTCTTTGGCAAGTTTGTGAGTCATTCTCCTTAGATTATCAAACAAGACCCCGTGACCACAGGGAACATTTTAACAATAATAAAAAATTTCTAAACTTTAGGATCGAAATTTAACAAAATTCCTGCCCATCGGGCCGGAAACTCGGTAGTCGCTGGTTCGAATAGGACCGTGGTCCAAATTTTCATTTCATCTACAATCTTTACCCAGTATCAATTATTATTATTATTTATTATTAGTCCCTTGGGTTCCTAGTGGAACATAGGGCTTCAGTAGCACGCCTCCAGTGACCTCTGTTCTCTGAGATCTTTTGAACCTGGTTCCACGACAGCCCAGAAGCTCTCATTTCCTCCTCGCACGACCTCCTCCATGTCACCCTCGGACGTCCAACTCGTCGCTTCCCATGGGGATTCCACTCGAGGGCCTGACGCGTGATGTCCTCAGTCGGCCTTCTCAGTGTATGCCCAATCCATCTCCACTTCTTCCTGCATATTTGTTGCGTGATAGGTTCTTGGTTGGTTCGTTCCCAGAGTTCCTTGTTGCTTATTTTTTCTGGCCATCTGATCTTCAGCAGCGAGCGTAAGCAGTTGTTGATGAATGTCTGTAGTTTATTGGAAATGCCTTTCGTGACGCGCCAAGTCTCTGAGCCATACAAGAGCACTGACTTGACGTTGGTGTTGAAAATCCGTATCTTGTTCCGCATGCTGAGTGCAGAAGATCTCCACACTGGTTTCAGGCTAATGAATGCCTGTCTTGCTTTTCCGATTCTGACTTTGACGTCCTCGTCCGTCCCGCCTGTAGTTGAAACAGTGCTTCCTAGATAAGTGAAGGAGGTTACTTCCTTCAAGTTTCTACCGTTGACGGTGATTGGAGTTTGTTGTTGTTGTTGATGGTGGTGGTGCGGTATCTTCATCACTTCTGTCTTCTCTATATTCACCTGAAGTCCCGTCTTAGCTGCCTCCTCTGTCAACTTGTTAGTTTTTGCCTGCAGATCTTCAAGTTTATGTGACATTAGGCATAAGTCATCGGCGAAATCCAAGTCTTCTAGGTTCTTTTCCGTCGTCCAGTGTATCCCCCTCTTCTCGCTGCCTACTGTTTGCTGCATGATCCAGTCCACCACAATTAGGAATATCATGGGGGATAGTAGGCAACCTTGTTTCACTCCTGTCTTCACTTCAAAGGCATCACTGAGCTTCCCATTGTGGATTACTTGGCATGTGGCATCTTCATATAGTTGTTGAATGAGGCGGATAAAGGTTTGCGGTACTCCGTAGTATTGAAGCAGTTTCCAAATTACTTCTCGGTCGACGCTGTCAAAGGCCTTCTCAAAGTCGATGAAGTTGAGGTATAGAGCTGATTGCCATTCTACGCTCTGTTCTATGATGATACGAAGCGTTGCAATTTGGTCAGCACATGATTTGTACTTCCTGAAGCCTGCCTGTTCCGGTCGCAGTTTTGAATCCAGTGCGTCTTTAAGCCTCTCCAGGATGATGCGGCTTAATATTTTACTTGGGGTGGATAGGAGAGTGATTCCTCGCCAGTTCTTGCAAGCACTGAGGTCTCCCTTCTTCGGCAGTTTGACAAGGTAACCCTTCTTCCAATCGTCAGGTACCTTCTCTTCCCTCCACACCTTCTGCAATAGTGGTGTGAGCATGTCCGCTGTTGTCTCTGCATCTGTTCTCAGTGCTTCTGGCGGTATTCCATCTGGTCCTGCTGCTTTCCCGCATTTCAGTAGCTTTATGGCGTTCAGGACTTCCATTTTCGTTGGGGGATTTATGTTCACTTGTAATTCAGCGGCTGCAGGTGGTATTTCTGGACGAAGTGCAGGTGGTGGTCGATTCAAGAGCTTCTTGAAGTGGTCGGCCCATCGTTTCCTCTGTTTCTCTTCTTTTGTAATTAAATTTCCTTCTTCATCTTTTATTGGTTTCATCTGTGTTGGTCTCTTCCCTGATAGCAACCTGGTTATTTGATACAATGTCGTCAGGTCTCTCTTACCTGCAGCCTGTTCTGCTTCACTTGCCAGTGTGTCGTAGAAGTGTCGTTTGTCTTTGCGTGCACTCTTCTTCACTTCTTTATCCAGTGTTTTATACATTGTGCTCAGTTCCTCTTGTCGTTGAGCATCCTTGCACTGGTTTATCTTCTGCTTC